GGAGTGAGAAGGGGAAACGGTGGTGGAGCTTCCTCAGAGAATAAATTTCACCCGGGTTTTCCTCACGAGACTGCAAAGAAACAAATCAGCCGTCCACACGAGGAAACACGCCTTCCCCCTACCCCCTCCCAGCTCCTAAATAAAACATCGAGGTTAAAAGCAGCTATCACAAATGAAAAAGGAAGGGGGGGGGGGGGGGGGGAAAAAAAAAACCGCTCTGCGGGTGCATCTCCATTAACTACCGGGGGGGTGGAAAAACAAAAGAAAAAAAAAAGAAACCAGGAAATTCTGTAAATGATGTTTTAGTAACTTTGCAGAAAAGGAGTTGCTCAAACTATTCCAGTGAGGAAAAATCCTCTACTGTAAATAGCAGAAAGATCATCCTTCCCGACCTGCGATACCAGTGTTCAAAACAAACCCCTGACACAAAGACAACTCCTCTACTGCTTTTAAATAGTGTTTCAGGTACTAAACAGCTTTAACAGGCACCTTGCATTAGCTCATGCTTCTCGTCAATTTACTACTTTAATACTTGGGTTTTTTTAAAAAATCAAACTACAGTGAAACCAAGTTACTCATTACATAAGCTACATATCAAGTACAAAAAAAAATACAAAGTTGCTTTTACTTAAGGTCGGATTACTACTGTTAGGCTCAGCATCAATTTTTCACGTCTCTCCTTTTGACCCAGATTCCTTCTGTCACTGTTCCCTGCCTTGAATTCTTAATTTCTGAGATTTATGTCCAATTTCTGCACTGGATAATAAGAAGCAATCTGCCACTGCTTGCAAATCCCAGTATAGACGGCAAATGGAGGATGAATACATTTCAAAAGATGTGGAAGTGAATAAGCTACACCTCAGAGTAAAATGTTGGCAAGCGCAGGATCGTCAGGCATGCAACTTATTAAATTATCTTTGAAGAACGACTGAAATTTCCCACACTTACCACTACTTCTTCGGTTTTCTCTTCTCTCTTTTCTTCCTCTTCATCAGTTTCTGCAGCAGCTCCCTCTTCCTCATCGCTGCTGGAGGACTCCAGAATTTCACTGATGTCCATTTTCCAGTTCCGAGGAACGCACTTTGTATTGAGAAACACACTCGCTTCCTGTAGCCCTACAAAAGAAAGGTTTTACCTCATCCATAGAATTCACAGTCACAAAGGATTTTTAATTTCTTTTTCACATTCTTGTAAATCACAATGTTAGTTTAAACCAAAAATGGAATTACATAACAAAATACATACTTCAGCTTTAAGCACTCAGCTTTCACACTATGCATTTTGAGACTCTCAGATTTTAAAAAAAAAAACAGGATCAGCAACTCCAGGAGTTTAGAGTTGAGAACATCCACCCCACACTAGGCATAGGTCCCTATGAACACTACTCAGATTTACACCTGTGTGTGAGCAGTACCGAGGATAAGCACCTACACTTACTCACACACATTCTGTGCAACTGTGACCTGCTCTGTTTCCGTATAAGACACAAAACTGTACTAAAGCTATTTAAAATCCCACCACAGTTAGGTTCTTCTCAAAACATCTTCATGTCTTAAAAATTTAGATTGAAGAAAAAAAGAATTCAAAAGTTTTGTTGAAGAGCACTGCCCAGACGGAGTTACATCAATGTTTGGAACGGAGGAAAGATACGCTAGTGAGTAAGGGAGTGACAGGGCAGGGAGAAGTCGCACTTATACGATGGGAACGCCTCCAATTCTTTTCCTCGAAGATGTGTTCCAAGGATGAAAATAACAAAGCAAACCAAACCCAGATAACCCCAGACACAATAAAAAACGTTAATATAGTTGAACCAGAAAAATACCCAAAAGACATGTTGCAATAAACCATGGACAGTGCTGCCGGAGAAGAAAACGGACACTTTTTAAAAGCTGCTGATAGCGTAACCTCCAGCAATCTGTCTAAACTCTTTGAAACTATTAGTACCTTTGGTTCCACGATACTCCTTCATAGCAATGAATCTCACAACCCAATCATGTTCTGCATGAAAAAACACCCCTTTCTTAATTTATCTTAACACTTTTTCAACTGTTTTGAAGGTTTTGTACTGTCAAAGTTATTAAGAGGAAAGTATATGATAAATTATTGAGCATTAGATGAATCAATCAAAAACCCCTCAAGCTCTCATTCGTGAGTATCATATTAAATATTTGTTAAGGAGCTGTTCCATAACTTTACTGAGTTGCTGAGTGGGGGATTTTTGTTGTTAGTTTTTATTATGAATTTTAAATATTTCTCCTTAACAAATTTTGTGATTTGAGGTCTGATTGAGTGGGAAAAATAACCCTAGAAGTTTAAGAATTATTTACATTGAAGTGAGAATCTGGCCTTTTACAAGCTCACTAAAACCATGGATTATTGTAGTCACATCATCCATCCATCTGTAATTATACTTTTAAATCAAGCATTAATCACAAGCAGGCTGTTCTAATAAAGTTGCCATCTTGCTGTTTGGGTATTTTTAACGCAAAAGCAAAGTGTTTTGAGCAATAGCACAAAACTTTGGTGTTAAAGAGAGGTAACCATATATTCCATTGTCCATTTCAAACACACTACCTTGAAAATATTCTATTCACTTTTCACACATTTGGAGTGCATCAAAAGAAGGAAATAAAAATCAAATTGTTTGCAAATATTTATGAGCAATTATCAGAAATCAACAGACCACCATTTCTCTGCAAAAGCTACAGGTATTATTGCACGAGATCAATTTTTTTAAAACATCTAGATTTTATTCTAACTTACCTTTTTTAGGAGAGGACTCGGATTTTGGTAAGTTTTGAACATCTAGTTCTTTAATGTCTTTTCTTGCTACTGAGTAACTGAAAAAAAATAAGGTTCCGTTGTTATTTTTAAATCATAGTAAAGCAAGCATTCATCTTAGAAAAACAATTGTTTTAAAACTTTCAAAATTTATGATTCACTTGCAAGGTCCTTTCTAACAACTAAATGCATGAGGCACTTGTTACAGTAGGTCCTAATACAAGATTCAAAACCAGAGTAAGTTTCTAGTCTTTCTTTGAGACTCAGACACTAAAAGATCCCTTCTAATTAAGTAATTAACAAGAGTTTGTAACGCTTCTTTATCTTAAATGCTTAACCTGCACAAGTTTGCACAGGTAAAATACTCTAGGTATGCAGAAAAACATTTTTTAAATCGAAAATGTTTGCATCGATCAACAGTTGCTGCCCAAAATGGCAATCCAGCTAAAATGAAAGAAACAAGCCCTCTATTTTCAAAACTCATTTCTACTAGCACAGAACAACAGTGAAGCCAAATTCGCATATTTGCATTGATAAATAGTTGATTTTTAAATTACAAAAGTGTTCTTATACCACATTATATGAAAGTTGCTCTGTTCTAAACTGATACCTAATAGTCAGTTATGAAATTACTACAATAGAAATGCTAACCAACCTGCAAGGAAAGCCTTACAAGTGAGTTATTATTATAAGATTTTTTTTTTCTTCGTTCGTTATTTCAGAAAAACTGGAGTAAAACCTCAGGAATTGGAGGCTGTCATTTTCTGAAGTTAAAGCCATAAGACTACGGGGGAAAAGAAAGTAAAACAGAGCAAGACTGCATGCTTTTCCAGTAACATTCTACCTTCAGTACATAAAGAACCAGACTCATCTAAGACAGCTGATGACACATGTCTACATCAAGAGGGCAAAACGAATTAAGTCTTCGGTTATTCGAAATATGTTTCAGTAATCAAGTACTTGCACTCTACTCAAAATCACAGCTATTGAAAAAAAATAAAAATCACAAATTGTTCACATTGAAAGAAAGAGAGAAAGAGCGGTGACAGCCAGCCCTCGGCAAGGAAGATTTTAGTTACAATATGTTGAGACAGATGCATGAAAAGTAAGGGTGAAGAGGAATAAAGGGAAACAGCTTTAAAAAACAGCCTTTGTACTCTTTTGAACATATTATTCCTTAAGTAAGAAACACATCCCTCTCTCTCCACCCCCTCTCCCCCTTTTGGGTGGGGGTGGACTAAAAGGACCTTTCTTTCATTTTGCAGGAATCTTAGTTCAGACTCTGAAAAATTTAATTAAAACCAGTCACTTTACATTCACGCTTTTATTAAAAAGGAGTAGATTAAACACTTGTAAACTTTGTTATTTAAACAGCAATGGACATCTGAGCATGGGAGGTAACGAGTCAATCAGATATCCAAACCAGTACAACCCCTAAAGACCTAATAATCATGACATTAAGTGAAATGAGAACCAAAACTCACAGTTCAAAGAACAGCAGGA